TTAAAGAGGACTAGATGTGTTGTACAATACATATATATATATATATATATATATATATATATATATATATATATATATATTTCTACTAATTCTATGAGCTTTGACATGACACCGTAGGAATTATTGTCAGTTGAAGAGTGTGTGCTGGGCAGTATGTTTGCTTGCAGTCACATGTAGACTCCCATTTTGTGTTTTAATTAGGTCAAGTTTCCACATGCCAAAGGCATTGGTTAGCACCAAATTTTAATGTTTGCAAATACGATTATCTTTCAACATTACATTCTCTTTCTACTGGCGAAACACCTTGCATTTTGATGCCGAAACTAAGGAAATTGAGTTAGCTAACGTATTTTTGGTGTAACTAAAGCGAAGCGTGGAAATGTTGTTTGTGGCCTGTTTATTACAACAGCCCCAAGGAGGATGTTTTGGGGATGAGGCTAGGAAGGTTTCAGTGAGGGCTGCTACAGCACAGGCTGGAGAAGGCGTCTGTGGAGGCTGACGCGTCGTCAGTGACTAAGATGCAGCGGCGTCTGGTCATGTCTCCTAAGTGTGGCTGGAAGAGGAGGGCGGGAACCAGAAGCGTGTTGCACTTTGACGCGCACCTGATGTGGAATCATTGTCACGGCGTTGGGCTGGTTAGGCGTGGTTTAGGTAGATCAATTTTGCTATGTACAGACTTCGCACGGATAACAAAGTTGCCCAAAACGAAAACAGATTTCTTGTCTGTTTTGATAGCGAATTTCTTTATTACATGAAGGAATAACAACGTCATCATTCATATAGCGCCACTTTGCATGTGGTTAGTGTAAATGACTCAATCGAATCCCAAAGACACCACATAAATTGCATTAAGAATATGCTAAAAGTGTCGACAGCGTGGTTAAAAAACGTTGAAATTAAATGAATGTGAGTTGGAAGACAGACTATGTGCTTGCAGCGTAACGCAATTGATTTGCCACATTTTAAATGACTCCCAATTGATCGGGATTATTTGTAGGGCAGCCTGTTTCTGACACCTCAATTTTAACATTCCATCATGAATAAATCACGATAGGTCGGACCTCTCTGATCGCGCTCTTTAACGGAGCACTTTATTCCCACCAATTGCAGCACCTCCCCCTCTAACCAATAAAATTTCTTTGACTTATTATCAGTGCCTTTACACGGATGGATTAAAGCACTAAAGCATTTATTTCCACGTCAATGCATAGTATACGTCTAGTGATGAGTACCTTCATCATAACAATCCTTGTGCTTATGTACGTATCGCGGGTTGCAGAGGCGATCCCAGTGTACGACAATGAAATCGAAGAGCTACTCGATGGACACAGTGTTCCCGAAGCTAAGCAGCGGATTCTGCAACTCGATGTGAAGGACGTGGTTAAGGAACACTACATCCGGGAGTTGGCATAAGACTTTCTGCGACAAATGTATACTTTTTACAGACCTTACGAAAATTTATTTTAACCATCTTTGTACCTATGCTTGATGTAATCATTAAATGATGTCGAAGTTGTTTTTTATATACTTACTTCAATGCAATGTAATATTCAAGCATACATTGAGTAATGTTGACGCGTTATTCATCTGTAATATAGAATTACACTACTACTGGCTGCCTCCGGATTTGTGAAGTACCCAGCATGTGAAACACCGCATCACGCTCATTGAATTGTTTTAAGGCAAACGTTGTCAGCGAACTCGTTGAATTTTTGGCTTCTAGCCATTTAGATTAGTGATAGTCTTTAGCTGCTCTGGTAATGGATTTAAGTAAAGATCAAGGCGGGGAATTGCAAGTACAACTAAAAATACTTGCAGAATTATTCAACAGTAATGAAAGGTTGCTTCTGTCCACATTCTTGCATTCAGCTTCAGTTAGTGCAAACGGATTTGACAAAATTTAGTCTGCCTTCTTACACAACCAACATGGCTACTTCGAATGACACTTTCCAAGTCCCCAAGTTCACTTCAAACCTGCAGTAGCTTAAACAGTCGCATGACATAAAAACACGTCGCCTGATTTTAGGCCACATAAATTTAAGCATAAGAGCCTAATTTACACTAATCACATATAACGCCTTTAGACAAAATTATGCTTTCTGAATCCACGCGTTGTCGGCAAGACGAGGTATTCCTCTATCCAACAACACATTTCTCTGCGCCAACAGCCGAGGGGCCGATTTTTGGTTCTAGCATTTCCGTTATTCCTGATACATTTTGTTTCAATGATAAAATTGGTCTCCCAAACAATGACCACGGATCACTTGAACACCAAATTTTGACAGGAGTCACGCAAATTGCTAAGTTACCTACTAACTACAATTGATACACAATGAAGAAATTTGTGCCAACTTCCAAATGTCTGACGTAATCAACAGGTTGCGCTAAACTCTTTCGCTGCAAGCTGGAATTGTCCGCGACTCCTGTTTTGTCGATGCAGGGCTGTAGTGGACTGACAGCCGCCCCGCGCGAGTGTGCGTGCATGAAGGCCCGTGTGTAGCGATGACTCATCCCCTTTTGTTATTGATTTTTGTCAGCATTCGCCTGTTACGCACGCGTGCTCATGCGCACACAAAACCACTTGGCTGGTTCGACTCTAATAAACGGTCGTGTTCTCTGTCGCCTCATTTTTCCTATCCTCGGGTAGCTACGGGCTGTTAACTAGAGGGTTGTAAGGTAGTGCTTAGACCATAAGCTACTACAGGGCGATTATTTGACTTGAATTCCTCCACAGGTAGTCGCGAGGTGTAAGGAAGCCACACCCCAAACGAAACCACACTTCCTAACAGGCATCTAATTCACGTCAGATTTGCATATGACTCGCAGTAAAATGGCGTTCCTATTAAATTCATGACGTAACTAAATTGCCCCTCCCTACGTAAAGCGATTACCTCATTGGCGAGGTTCCCAAGTCAGTCCTTAATTGACTTCGATATGTCGCAACAGGCTTTCCCATCTCCATCTAACAAGGTTTGCTTGGCACCCATTCACAAGCGTTTCCATCACGACAGCCATCTCGCCCACACTCATCGTACACACCGTGAATTGCGCTGACGCTCACATGGATTTGTACTCCTCAAAGTCTAATTATCTGTGCACGAATATATCAATAATCCTGAAACCATGCAACAGTCAGCAAATGAGTGATACAAGATGACAAATAGTGAATTACGCTTTCCTTTAAACAGACACGAGTGACTCGCGCCGTTTGGTTATTTCCAATTCTATCCTCTGAGTGTTTCTCTTTTGCCAAATCAAATTTACACCGGGATCACGACACCTGGCTAAGGAAGGTGCCAGTTTGACATACCACAAAGGTACCAGGTGTAAAGGGGAAGATAACAAAAAATTATTGACCGCGTTATCCCTAAGATTAATTAGAGTGCGCTGAAATAATGATCTTAGTTAACGAAATAGTGCAATTTTCCTAAGGCACTGCTAGCACTTTATGCTTCCCTTAGCGAATTAACACTGCTCATTCACATTGTCAACGTCCGATGCTCAAATTAGAGGTTTCACTTCATCGATAATTAGTCCATACAACAGCATTCCATTTCACTTTGCATATAACCACTGCAGTAACACAACTATTGGGTACACCCATTTTGACCACAGTACATATTTCAATCTACCACTACGTTAAGATTTTAATAACAACTCGAAAAACGTGATTGGTTAAATTACGATGCCCATAATTTGTGTGGGCAAAGTACTTCGTTCTAGGGTGTGTTCTGATGGACTGAAGCTGGGAAAATTCACAAAATCTCGGTTCTATTTGGGAGCCAAAATTAGCACCGTGCTTTGTGCGTTTGGTGTGTTCCACCTACTCGAGTTTAGTTCTCATACAAATTGCATTAGACTGTCAGGATTAGGCTGCACAGGGAATGATCCCTGTCAATCAGACATCTTAAAATCTGCCGCTCCAGTCTAGTCAAGATGCCAATACATTGTCTGTCTTCCAAATTACTTCAGTTTATTTTAACCTCCACTAAACCACATTGCATGTAATGCAATTCTTTTGCTGTTTATGATGTGATTTTTTAATTTACACAAGCACTGTGCAATGGGGTGTCTTCTGAATCACAGCGCTGTTGGCAAGGCGTGATCCAATTTCATCCATCAACAAAATTCCCTAAGCGCACGCCCTAGGCCCTTGTTTTTTTGTTTCAAGCAAATTCGGTATCCATGATTCATTATTTTAAAGAGCAACATTGGTCCACACAAATCACGCTCACAATGCGCACCACAGATCACATGAATGACAGAATGCAGAAGAAGTGACGCGGAATCGATAATTAGGCTGCTAAATTGCCGTTTCTTTTTATGACAGTCTTTCACTCAGATGATAGAAATGTCGCTGCTGCTCTTTCCTTAAATGGACACGCCAGACAGGGCGAAACACCGTTGACAGCACCTCTAATGGCATCAAAATGTTTCTGCCAGTTTCCTAGTGAGAATTATGCAGGCTTACCACCGATATTAGACTTGATACTGCACTTATTTGCCGAGGTTTTCGCTGCACCCAAATTTGTTCATTTTCGGAATGGATTTGAGAACTCGCTACATTTTGTGTGTGTGTGTGTGTGTATCACTCTTGATCTGTAAACATGTCATGGGTGAATTGGTAAATGCCACGAATGATTACTTTCCTCAACGGTTTAGCAAAAAATAGCATTAGACACTTCTTTGAAATACTCCTGCAATTAAAAAAAATATGCCAGAGGGAAAAATAGCCAATCACGCATTGCGAACATGTGATGTTTGGTTTTTACAGCAGCTCATTCGAGATATCTTAAACACGGTCATTCGGCACACTTAGTGCCACAGATTTACACGACGTAAATTGATTGCTGGGAAATTTTTAATTAACCTAGAAAAAGTCAACACGTAAAAAGCGTACGAAGCCAAAAGCGTCATTTTGCACTGAAGTCATTTATCGAATTAAAGCAACCGCCTCGAAGTTGTTGTGATGAACATGCCACAAAAAGACAACCAGTGCTGCCAGCACATGTCCTTGTGTTTCGTGTGAGTTGCATTGACTCAAATTGACAAGCACAAAACAGTGAAATAAGCGGTATTTTTGCATCCATTATGACGCGTATCCACCAGTTGATTTAATGTCATTGATTGTCGATTACATTTGACTTTCGTCGACACCTACTTTCAGCTATCTAACTATTTGACAGGTCTCCATCAAAACTCCTTCAACAAATGTACCTCTTTTTTAGGAATAGTAGGGATGATGAATCCATTCCGCGCCAAATATGGACCAAATCTTTCTTGGCACATTTGAACCAAATCACCTCCTTGCAAAGCTCTAACACACAGTTGATGAAGCTCACTGAAGCAATCGTGTTGCGGCCCCCGGTGCGGATAGAAAACTATACCATAGCCGACAATCCACTTTGACACTTTGCTAACGAAGGAAGGGTAGAAATGCAGATAACGCGTAGTTCAATTAATTTATTAATGCATTAGCGATGGTGTGTCTGGTGAATATTTTATTCCAACAGGAATTCTGAAGGGTGGGTCGTAGGTATGGTGTGGACGGCTTGAGGCCTTAGAAATGTATTCACACGAGTAATTAAGCGAGGCGAATCGTCATCGCCAAATGGTGAATGGAACGCTTGGCGTCATTGTTCGTTGTCGGAAGACGTTTGAGGTGATTTTACTGCGGCAGATACAACCTTTTCTACCAGCGGGATATCTGAAAAGTTGAAAGTAAGATGGATGGTGTGTGACATCTGAGCGTTGGAGTCAGATAGTTGAGGCTTTCGGACTTAGTTGTGGGTCGAGAACCAAGCCGAGAATGGCCTCTTAGATAGTGTAATCTTTGTGTTGACATCAGGTAAAAAGTCGCGAATTTGCACACTTAAGTAGATATAAGATGAAAAAAAAACACCATGTTGTTAAAAAAAATCATAATAATCTTTGAACCAACTGCAGCAAACTGATGCGTTTCAATAAAATTAACGTTTTTTTAACTCATGCACCGGATGTGAGTATATTTATCTCGAACTTTCAATCGCCTCGCAGTTTGTATCTTTAATAACAGAGCGCAAAATTCTTTTTCCAGATATAAACTTATACATCACTTTACGTATACTTGTGGACCGTTAGCTAATCGTAACCGGACGGCATGCATTTCAATAACTTGTCAACAGCAGACTTACTATGGGGTAAATTGCTGGGTGAGACCATGGTAAACACTCGACGTTTAAATGCTTCGAAGCACATTTTAAAGTTCATTCAGTGTGACGAGCAGTTGTCTGCACGATTACCTCAAAGTTTGGTGATACGGCAACTGTAGTATTCCAGACAAGTTTGAGAAATTTCGTTTCGCTTTGCCGCTACTGAAAATAGTAAGCAGATATTTGCCGTCGTTTCATTTCTAATGTAAGGCCAGACTGTCC